TTCATAGACATTTCTATTTTGGGAACTGATATCTGACCAGTTAGGTTCATACTCCACTGATTTAACTTACAGTCGATTTTGAAAAGGCTTATGTTTACGCTTTCTATATAGGCTATACCTCAGAAGCTGCATCAGAGATACAAAGATTCCGGGATCAGTTCGTAAGTTGAGACAGCCTTTTATAAAATTTAGTATATCAGAGATTGTTTGAGATGTCTTTCTGAATCCCACGAAAGCTGATCTATGTGTGGACACATGAACCAGCCATCATTTATACCTTAAATGCAACTACAAGCGATTCCCTGTATGCAGAGTTTAAAGTCAACAGATTTTGTTGGGGTTTCTGTGTTCTCAGTAGCAAAGTGCAATCTATCCCGAAAATCAAATAACACCAGTGATGGATTTTGCGAACCAGGCTCTCATTCAAAAAACGTTTCTAAATTGTCTTTTGCAAATACTGTACGCTTTGCATGGAACTGTGGGCTGTAGTAGCGTACTTTTTCAGGTTACCACATTAAACATTGGTCTGTCTACTATTTGATTATGAATACAGTGGTCTTGGGTGCTGTTAGAGGTATGAGGGCGGTTATCACTTCCCGGTTGCCCACACCGTGGAAGGGTTGTTCTGGAGGTACCTGAAAAGGAAATTGGATTAAAGGTGGTCTTAGTGACCTGGAAGCGTGACCGCAGTGCCCAAGGGACAACTGCTATTAGAATGGAAATGTTACATATTTCGGTGATGAAATAATGGCTAACCCTGGTGTCTGATTATAGAATACTGTTAAGAAAAGTTCGAATTCTACGTGAATTTTGACCTGAATGTGAACAAATGTGGGCTTATTTACATTGGCCACAGCCTTAAGCTAGACCTAGCTATATACGAACACAGTGAAACTTCTCAGCACTGTTCATAATTTGCGTTTTAGGTATAGCACCAGTCTGAACTTTTTCGTGTATATTACATCTCAAGTATCCAAACAAGAAAGCTAACTGGATGCGTAATAACAAATTTCAGTAACATCTAGTCGAGATTATTACTTTACAAAATGTGGTATCCTAGTTTCCAGTAGTTGCCGACATAGTGACTCGAGGAGATTTGAGAAAACCCAAGATGGTTTATTCACAACACTTATGTATCGATAAGCTGTTTTTGAATAGTAATCGTTTAGGCAGCTGATTCAGTTCAACGTTTGGCTGATCACACGCTATGAGCCGAAAAGCTATTTAGAACAAATTGCTTATGGAACTAAAAATTTCCTTTTATATTTATTCTATTTATAGCAGTAAGACGAAGTAGATTACAATCACTATGTGGTTCAGGTACTTGTCGCCTTACCTTTTATTGAGCATTCCCTCAAGCACTGTTTTCTAAATGAGGGATATTAGAGATCTTTATTGACGTTCAGCCAAACATCCATTAATATACAGGAATGGGATACTACTGATTTTGATATAGCTTAATTTTCGTAGAAGCCTGTTATGTGTAACTCTGTAGTGGCATTGATTTGTATTCACATTATTTTTGAAGCCGAGCATATTGCTGTGGTGATTTATATTCAACATGTAACACACAGGGGCCAACAATGGTGAATTCGGAAACAAATGAATCGAGATAATACGGCGGGACCATGCACGCAGGTTCAACATATATAATCTCTTGAATTCGGCATTGATTATGTTTCACTCCACTAAAATCAAATGTGTTCTTAAGACATATTAGAAGTCGTGTTCCTGATTGTCAGGATAAGACGGGTTGCTAAGTAATATGATATGTAGGTGGTTGGTTGTTTGTTTGGTCAGACTAGTAAATAATCTGAAAGTGTTGGATGATTTATACACTCTCCTACCCTCATTAGTATTATCTTGTCGTCGGATTTCGCTGTGGGAATATACATACGTTCTAGTTAGGCCAGTCACGTATTCTTGATCCGAATTATACTGAAGTGATGTAGAACAGATATTGCAAGGGTATCTAGTGTAGATATTCGTATGAGGCACGTTTACTTCGCGCTCGTTTGTGTGGGCATGCGGAGCAATATATCATTTATTTTTTCACGTCAGTACAAATCTTTACTTTTAGAATTAGGTTTACTTTTAAGGTAGCAAATCTAAGCATACTAATAACGAACTATACCATACTTCTTTATTTTTATGATACACCTTTCTGTGTTCAATGAAGCCTACATCCATTATTTGCCTCAGTTTCTGTAGATCACAACAATTTTCTAGCGCTACTGTCACATTCGTGAGACGGGAATACGTTGTTTCATAATCATTATGGATTTCAGAGAGAATCGATGATCGTATTCCACCGATTCATTTTAAAACTTTTCTTTTTTCATGATGATTTCAAAATATTAAATGAGAAAGATTAGTTCAGCGAAGAGTTCTCTTTTTGGCGAATTCATTTTCGAAGCTGTACAATCGCAAATATATATACTTATTTTTACAGGATGATAATAATACTTATAATAAACTTGTTATTTAACCTCACTGTCACCATGTATAACAAATTTATTATCAGTATTATTATCATCCTGTAAAAATAAGTATATATGTTTGCGATTGTACAGCTTCGAAAATGAATTCGCCGAAAAGAGAACTCTTCGTTGAACTAATCTTTCTTATTTAATGTCTTAATGGGTGTATTCCGTTTATTAAAAGATTTCAGAATAGTTAACTCGATTCAATCTTCTACAGATGAAAGCTACATATATGTAGTAATCCAACAAAAAATCACCAAGCAATGCGAATGAACGGCGTAATGGGATCTGAAAACGCACAGACTATTTTAATATGTAGGTGGGAAAAGGAAGGAATCCATCAGGGCTCGAACGAACGCTTTCAAGCGACCAACTCCTAACTGCAAACCAGATTTACACCTCTTTGCAACTGAATAAGACTTACATTGACATTGAGACTTAGAATCATCAGCAGTTGTATTAGGACAGAAGCAACACTGTCAATAGAATATCCAGTCAAATGCTGGAATTCGCTGCCAGCCGAGCTAGTCCAAGAGACTTCCCAGGAGTCCTCTAAGAGGCAACTTGATCTATACTTAAGGTCTGAGGATAATATCATACTATGATTTACCGATTTCTTTTTCCTCTTTTATCGTCAACATACCTATGTTCATGCCTGGAGTTATTCGTGATCCCTTGCTACTAGACACGGAAGCCTGTTAAGCGAAAGCTTCTTCTATTCCATCCACAACCATTTGAACCATTTGGTGAACAGTCGCGATTACGTTGTATCATTGGGGATTCGTTTTGTATCTTGTATCAATACGATGGCATCACTTCCTCTACTTGAAGGTTGGGGGTTATCAGACATGGTGTGAATGGACCCAAATAAACTTAATAATTGTCTTGATTAGACCGCTTCTGCAAGACGTCACGATTTGTCGAAGTGACCCATGAATTGTTTTGCGTCATCTCAACCTTTCAGCTCTCAGTAACCTTCATCGGTAAACTATGCTACTGGATCGTCTTCTAGTTTCGATCTGAGGCTTGTGTTATTGATGGTTGTTGTCTATTGTTTTTAATAGTAAATGTACGTGCATTGTGTACGACCACTGGGTCTTCCATCTATCTTCCCTTTTGATCTCATTCACAGTTCTCAAGCCACTCCGCATGCTGTCGTGATACACAAAGTGCCTTCCCGTTATACGTAAACGCTTGCAAAGGTCATCAGTAGCGCTGTATTTAAAAAAAGTGAGATCACCTGGTTACTTGATTAATCCACATCAATCTAGATAATCACATTTTCTAATTTTAGATTGTGTGTCCTCGTCGTAGTGTTAAAAAGACGGTTGCCATCTTGTCGCAGCTAACTCTGTTTAAAGTTAACTGTAACAAATATGGTGGATTGAGACTGATAGTTGTGCTGGAAAGTTGATTTTGGTAGAATTTGATTATTTATGTCAGGGCTTATTGTTGTGAATTTGGAGAATGCCGAAATCAAAACCGAGTCGGAGTAATGTGAATTCATAGTTTCTTGTTGGCTGTTTATAACCATATTTACCTTAATTGTTGTTCTTGCTTCACTCATAGCAAGGAAATCGACAATTTTTGCACGAAAAAACGGGAATGTGATATTAATGCACTTCATTAGTGGGAGACTTGGATGAATCGATCAAATGTGAACAACAAATCGTCGCGACCAATAGGCCCTTATACTAAGTCGTATTTTTATCGTAGTTGCCGATTTAGTTAGGGGAATAACATCCCTAAGTTCATGTTGATTAATATTCCCTTGTCCACTACAGATTGATGGAAATTAGTTTTTTACTGAACGGTCAGTGCATTTCGTAAGCGAAAATGCCACTAGTTTGGTGGTCATACTTGTTAATTCTCCAGTTATTTCGTTGGTTACTGTTTTATCGTTTATGTTTGGGACCGTCATTATGGTGATGCAATGGATTAAAAGCAAAATGCATGTATTAAGATTATATCCGTCGAAATTCGGTTTCCTAAACCAGAAAACGAGGTTTAAGTATGTCTCTTAAACGGGTATCAGGACTAAATCCGTAGTCCCAAGAGCTTTTTGGACGGGAACGTAGGTGTTTGGATTTCCATTTGAACTAGTGAAGCAAATAAGCCAGGGCCTAATCTTTGATTCTTGGCTTTATCGCAAGTATTGATATAGATGTGACAAAGTTCCGAAAGTGATTTGCTGTTTAGTTTAGCCTGTTTTCGAGTGGCTTGTTTATTGGGTTACGTTTTTTAATCTGCAGTGATTTTATTTGTGGTGTGATCAGGGGAAAGTGGAAAGTACTGAGTGCTAGTGAAACATAACACCAAATCACTTTAATTATTCTCAACAGTGTGGTTAAAGGTAGGTTGGTAAAGTGATGCGGAGACCTAGTGAACGATAAAGCTCAGTAACTCAACACTTCTGTATTTACATAGTTGTTCCTCAGATCCTATTTCGTAGAACCGTTACCTCACCATATTTGTTCACCTTTTTACTTTAGGTGCAAAGAACAACCATCAGTACTCATGGACTTTCGTCAGAAACTTATATTTCACAAACTAAAGTCTTGTAGGTTTCTTTTTCGGGAAGTAAAATATAAAAATGTTCCACTTCATTGTTTTCTTCATGTTTCTTATTATTTACAGACTCCATGTTGTTTTTGACATGGGCTTTTCACAACATCTAAGCAAAACAATGTTTTATTTGATTATGTGTTGCTCAGTGTGTCCATTTAATCAAACTAACAAATTTCGGAATTTGTCTGGTAACTTCAAAGTCATGACTTTGAATGCTGCCTGGCCTATCTCAGTCTGCAAATCCACACTTATTATTCTACTATACATCAAATTTCAATCGCACAATTTTTAATTTAAATACTACCTTGTCAAAGAATTTTCAAATCGAATTTTCAAACCCACGTTAAATATTGCGTCTAGTGTTTATTCATTATATACATGTTCAAGCACTACTTTCCATTTGATATGCTTGGTATATTAACTAGAGTAAGCTTCTAGAAATCTCTATAATAAAATCTGATTGTTTTGATCTGTAGCCCTATCTTAATAGATATAACTGAATAATAATGGTAGTTTTTAGTAAGACTAAAATTGATTGATTATTTATGTATTTGAATACATAAATATCGGTACAAGAGGGCACCAAATATATATGCGCCACAAAAAACAATGAGAATTTGGAGAGAAGGAAAGAAAAGGTAAGGAGCGTAAGAAAAGAACAATAACGAACAGATTAGTGTAAGGTAGTGTAATAATAATAATGGGGGAAACAGAAACGTACAATCAGTAGAGATCTTTCAGTTAAGGAAGAAGCAACCACTTTTTATGATGAAAGTAAAATAAGGTTACAGCAGGATCGCTACTGGCTTCTGTTCTGAGCCATATCTGATGACGTTTCTACTCGAGAACGTTTATATAGAGCCGAATTTCCACCATAGGCGAGCTGCTGTATAAGTCGAAAAACAAGGATAGACAGAGTGGGAATAAAAGAGAGTGAATAAATGACATAGTAAATAATAATAATAGTAACAATAGTAATAATAATGTGGATCGTTTGATTGTTAATTGAAGCAAGAAAGTGTTTTCCATAATTATCGACAGTTCATCATATTTGTATGTGGGCTGTGATACTGCCCGGGTGCCCAGACCGAAGGAAATGGTTTTCTTAGGGGGCCACACTCCTAGCCTTTGACCTAAAGGTCTAACCCACAAGGCAGTGGAGCATCGTAAGGAGACGCAGTCCCATGGTAGCCGGTGACCAACGATTGGTTCATACGCCATTTGTTCCTTCAGGATACTGGAGCCCATGTGCACCATTGATTTGGGATCCGGTTAAAGCACCGGACATTCGCTTTTCGTCCTCTCATTTTCGTAAACGACCCCCGCCACGAGAAGGCAGTGAGTAGGACTTCCCTGGCAGAGGCTGTATACGTGTGGCCGTGTGAGAGTATTTCGAGAGGGAGGGCGGACGCACCCCACTCTCGACCATACCAGGGCATTTGGGGGCAAGACTAAAATAACAATGTTGTTTCAAATATGCTTCTAGAACAGGTTAGAAAAGGAACACGATTATATAGAGAGTTGGTGAGCAAAAAGAAGTAATTTAGCTAGTCTTCTTTATTTCGGACTTCTCTTATTAGTTCAGGAATTTTCATGGATTAAACCAAACGGTTCTGATTTGTAATTGTTAAAGCATAGACAGATACACCAAAACTTGTCTAGAAATATCAATAACTAAGGTTCGAGTTAGTTTATTGCATACGGTACATTATGTTTGGTCCGTTCATGTATAAATAAACTAGATATACTTTTCGTCCGGTTTCAAAATCTTTAATTCTATGTTATCTTATCATGTGAGCAGAGCTCTGAAAATGATGATCAAATGTCTGCCATCTTTAAATTTTACCCGACATCTTTCTCATGGGCAGTATATTACTCTCATGATATAGGTGTTTATGAATTATTAGTAGTACATTGGTCGTAATGTTGAGATTGACAACCCAGCTTCTTTTACCGATGTGACTACCGTATATTAGATTCTCAGGACTAATGCAACTATCCAGATAATAGGTTTTTTATACATCAACGAGCTTATCAAAGTAAGTCTCTTGTGATTGAAGTTGATTTACATTGGTTGTTGCTATCAACATGGGAACCACTGAAAACCAGGGGTCGCTAAATATATATTTGTTTTTGGCATAAAACTCTGATTGTATTTTGTGGATATTTCAGCTCATATGCACCAACTTGAGTGAGTATCAAGGTGCTTATTAGTTGCACCAGCATAAATTTACTGTAACACAATCATATATAAGTCCACACTTTTCGATCAAGAGTGATTTCTTTTTTCCCTTATGATTGGCATCTTGAATGCTTGGCAAACGCTTTTTTAGTAACCTAACTATTACCTGCTAGCATTTCAATCTTGAAACTGCCTTTTTTTCTAACAAAATCTAGCTGGATGGGACTATATCAAATGGTATGCAGATTCAGCAAAGTTAGTTCCTGGTTGTACAAATCCTTTGATTTTAGCAGCACAACAATGCCCAAACATGGACGTAATCAAATTAAAAGTGGCTGTTGTCCTAATGATACCTTTAATAGATTTTTCCAATAAAACATTTGATTTCTTAAGTCTACACAGTATGATAGAAACTGTTGAACAAAACCGTGATGGCTTTTTAAAGGAAGTTTTTCATGAATACAGATCGTTTTTGAATTTTGATATTTATGATTCTAAAACGACCTCGTTCAGGTAAGATAATATATTTTAGCAACCTATGGGTCTTTAAAATTAATTGGGTTTAGTACTCAGCACAGGCTTTTGGTGTGCTTTCTAACTATAGATTTATTCCACTGTACAACCAGTATTATGATATGATGTTAAATGTTGGTTCATTTGAATATTTCAGCTAATTTACGGCTTTTTTTATAGTTGTTAAAACACCTTAACTTTTGAGCTTCAGTATTATATACCAGTGATTAATGCTAAAAAAGGAGAATATTAAGAGCGGTCATATGAATAAACAACAAAGATGGAGTAACCTAGTTGGTAATAACAATGCTAGGGAACTGCCAAATCTCACCATTCCTCTTCAACTTTGCCATCGATGACAATCTGGAAACAGCTCTGATGAATGTAAGTAATGGTGGTGTGGATTTGTTGCCTGGAGAAAGACTTCTCGACCTTGAATATGCGCACGATATTGTCTTACTGTGCGATAATGCCCAAGCCATCCAATCCGCACTTAATCAGTTGGCAATCAGTGTCCGTAGGTATGGTATGTGCTTTGCACCTTCGAAGTGTAAAGTACTTCTACAAGACTGGCAGGATTCTAATTCTGTGCTCACCCTGGATGGTGAGCAGATGGACGTAGTCGAGAAGTTCGTGTATCTGGGTAGCTGCATAAGTGCTGGTGGGGTTGTGAGTGATGAGATCAATGCACGTATAGTGAAAGCCAGAGCGGCTTATGCCAATCTGGGCCATCTTTGGCGCCTTCATGATGTTAGTCTGGCTGTAAAAGGTCGGATCTACAACGCGTCGGTGAGAGCAGTTTTGCTCTATGCTTGTGAAACCTGGCCTCTCCCAGTTGAGGACGTTAGACGACTCTTTGTGTTTGATCATCGCTGTTTCCGAAGGATTGCTGACATCCAGTAGCAACACCATGTCAGTAATGCAGAGGTTCGGCATCGTGTGTTCGGGCACAGAGACGATAATTCAATTGGTGTCACCATCTTGAAACACCGACTTCGGTGGCTTGGACATATTCTACGAATGTCGTCCCAGCGAATTCCACGTCGTGCATTATTTGCCGACTCTGGGACTGGTTGGAAGAAGCGGAGAAGTGGTCAGTGCATGACATGGTGTCGTGGCATGAAAGAAAGCTGCAAAGGACTGGCTTGTGTTGGTCCTTCACAACTCCCTGGTTGGGATCTGAGAGATGGTGCTACACAGTGGCTAGAGAGGTTATCAGATATGGCTCAGAATAGAAGCCAGTGGCGATCCTACTGTAACCTTCTTTTACTTCATAAAAAGTGGTTGTGTCTCCCTTACCTGAAAGATTTCTGATTGTACCTTTCCGTTCCCTCATTTCTACCATACTACCTTACACCAATCTCTTCGTTATTGTTCTCTTTTTTTTGCGCTCCTTAGCTTTTTTTTCTATTTCTCCTCGAATTCTCATTGTTTTGTGTGGCGCATATATATTGGCGCTCTCTTGTACCAATATTCATGTGTTCAAATAAATAAATAAATAACATATGGACCACACAAGTCACTTGATTTGTGTGTGGGCTGTGATGCTTCCTGGGTGCCCAAACCGAATCAGGTTGTTTCCTTAGAAAAACACTCTCCGAGCCTTTGACCCAGAGGTCTAGTTCACAAGGCAGTGGAGCAACGAAAGGAGATGCAGTCGCATGGTAGCCGGTGATTAACGATTGGTTCATACGCCATTTGTTTACTCAGGATCCTGGAGCCCATGTGCACTAATGATTTGGAATCAAGGTTTCCCAACTTCCCTAGGTAGATCCTCGATATCCACCGACCCGGTTAGACATTCGTTTTTTGTCCTCTCAATTTTGTGAACGACACCCGCCACGAGAAGGCAATGAGTAGGACATTACTGGCAGGGCTATATACGCGTGGCTATTTGAGAGCATTTCGAGGAGAGCTGACTCTCGCCACTCTCGTCCGTACCAGGGTATTGGGTGGCTTTTCCTTCGTTTACATAACTGTCTGCTTAGAACTGAATGTGTAAAATAAACTTATCCTCATTATATCTCTTGTTTTGACGTTCTAGCGTTATGTGCCGATGGAATGTTACGAAAGTAAGTATGAAATATATGAAAGCTAAACTGAAGTTAGATACGTGTACTAAAAAGTAGCCATCTAGCAGTATAATAACCAACAAATTATGTCGTATTAACCAGTAAAATGTTATCGAATAAAAATAACATCTGACAAACTAACTCATTAATTAAGTAAACACTAATATACCTCGACTTGCACTACATCATTTATAAGATCTATCTGGCTTTCCGAAGTAAAAATATGACTTCAAATGATTTGAAAACATATGTGTCGTTCTAATATTCTATTTTACACGTTTCTGTTGTATTTAAAGTGTAAAATTAGGTTGTTATGAAAACGACGGAATGTTTATGCTAATTAATGCTTCATCTGGTCTCTCATCCGATCTTAGTTGAAATCGGTGGATTAGGTGAGTATCGCGCAAATATTATAAATTATGTGTTGTATATTTCTTTTCCATTTCTTTGTCACTGTCCAAAGTTAAATGTATTTCGGTTTTTGACTTCCTCATCATCCTGTCTCAAACTTTATTGTGAATGTATATTAGGAAAGGGTTTTTATGTAAAACTGAATTGTATGTCCTACAGTTTAGTGGAAAAATTGTAGTCCGATATTGATATAATATTTATTACTCACCTAATATCATTGGACACAATATAATGTTTCTAGACTATATTCGTGGGTTCTTATTGATATGTAAAGGGACGTTGTATTGTCTCGAGTTTTTCAACAGACACTAAACTTTATTCCTTGAATCTAGTCGGTATCACGATTCCGTCATGAATTGTTTATAAGTAGTACTGAAATATTTGATTTTTATAGGGTTGGGATGAGCTTGTTTTAACATTTACTCTGTACGAGATGACCAATTAGAATTGTTTCAATCAACGTACATTCTTCAGGTTTCTCAATGACATTTGTGCATTGGTCTATTACATATGACTTTATTCTATAGTAAACGAACTTTACTTAATTGAACTTCCTACCTCCCGACCGTTGTTGCTACCTTGACGTGGTGGTCGGGGTTGCCTATCGTGATGAAGCAAACGAGCTATACTGACTGGAACAACTGTTCCTCAAGGTCCTACCACGTCAGAAAGGTCGGTTGAAGAGCGGTAAGACTAAAAGCAACAAACCCAAGGTCCGAAAGCGAAGTCGTACTGCTGACTGTACAGAGGTGTGACAGCAGTAAGGCGTTTCTTTCAGACAACCAGCATGACAGCAATGCTGCCTTCCCACAAGGAGGGGTGGGGTTAGAAAAGGTCGACCCTAAAAATGCACACCTCGCCTTATCCCACGGATATCCGTCTCCGGTGGTAAGGTCTCAACAAGTACGGAGCTAACACAAAAATTACCCATAAAAAGGTCGTGTGTGACCGACCTCAAACAGTTGTCCCTTGGGCACTGCGGTCACGCTTCCAGGTCACTAAGACCACCTCTAATCCAATTTCCTTTTCAGGTACCTTCAGAACAACCCTTCCACGGTGTGGGCAACCGGGAAGTGATAACCGCCCTCATACCTCTAACAACACTCAAGACCACTGTATTCATAATCTACCTCCTTCTTTAATTCCTATTATTCCTCCTACATCGACTTCAAACTTTCTTTTTCGGCTTCCCCCTCAAGTGTCACCATAGCCAACGTTTCTAGTGCTCAAAACACTGTCCCAGGTCTACTGAAACCTCGCTCCACACTACACATTGGAGCCTTCAACGTACGCACCCTAAGTCAAATCGGTCAACAGGCTTCCTTGGCTAGAACCCTAGAATCTCGTACCATTGATGTATGCTGTGTCTCTGAAACACGCATACAGGATCCCAGTGTGGTCATTCACTTGACCTCACCTTGGCAACACGGAGAGCCAACGAGATACACCCTCCGTGTATCTGGTGACCCGACGGCCAGTTCTCGTAGACTGGCAGGAGTAGGGATAGCACTAAGCATGAGGGCGGAACAAGCACTGTTAGAGTGGATCCCCGTTAACAGTCGTTTATGTGCTGTTCGGCTAAATGGCTCCGTAAGAACTCGGAAGGATAGGGACACACGTCGTTGCCTTTTTGTCGTTTCTGCCTACGCTCCCACCGACTGCAGCTCGGATTGAAGTGAAAGATGAATTTTACAGAGAGCTATCTGAACTTCTTCAGAAAGCTAAACGTTCAGACACAGTACTCGTAGCAGGTGACTTTAATGCCCAGATAGGTAGTTTAAATCAAACAGAAAGGCATTTATGTGGGTATTTTAGCATTCCGGCACAACGAACAGATAATGGTGATCGTCTGCTACAACTATGCTCAGACAATCGTTTATGTTTAGCAAACACAAATTTTAAGCATAAGGAGAGACATCGTCTAACACGGTGACCCCCTACACCAAACCAACGATGGACTCAAATAGACCATATTGCCATTAGTCATCGTTGGAGAGGGTCGGTAGAAGATTGTCGCTCATTCTGGAGCACCTGCTTGGACTCCGACCACGCCCTAACACGGTCACGCATCTGCTTGCGCCTCACTGGACGCAAGAAAGCCACACTAAGAAGACCCATTAGAATTGAATTGAGTAGCAAAAAAACGAAAAGTAGGTTCCAGGAACAACTGAGGTCACAATTAAGTAGTTCTGAAAACGAGGCTGACCCAGATGTTGCTTGGAAAGATATGCAAATAGCTGTGGAAACAGCAGTGACATCTATCAGTGATTTAAACCACAGAGTTACAAAGAACCAGTGGATTTCTTCAAAATCTGTCACACTGATGGATTCTCGCAAACTCGTCCCATCAGGTTCCGAACATGATGAAGATCGACAACAGATCAGATCTAGGTTAAGAAAAAGTCTAAGAAACGACCGTGAGCAGTGGTGGGCAACGAAAGCAAAAGAGATGGAAAAGGCGGCGACTATAGGGAACACAAGACAGCTTTATAGACTAATAAAAGAAACTGGAACTAATAGGTCAAGTGTAAGTGAGATTATTTCGGAAAAAGACGATACTCTCATCTACTCCCAGTCCAGACGTTTAAAACGATGGGCGGAACACTTTAGGAAACAGTCCAGCTGGCCTTCAGCGACTCTACAACTACCCTCCATTCCCAGACAGTGAATGGAACATTGAAGTAGGTCCCCCAACTCTAACAGAAGTTCAAAAGGCTATAGTTAATCTGAAACGAGGAAGGGCGGCTGGTCCAGGTGGATTGGCTCCAGAGGTCTTTAAAGATGGTGGTCCAATTTTAGCGATTAGGTTGACTAATATTTTGGCTAAGATCTGGGAGTTGGACGTTATCCCATCTGACTGGTCACAATCACTTATCGTCCCAATATATAAGAGAGGGTTAAAATCGTCCTGTGACAACCATAGAGGGATTAGTTTAACTAATATATTATTATTATTATTATTATTATTATTATTATTATTATTATTATTATTATTATTAGCTTTATTCAATATTATAATTTTGGTACAATATAGAATTCTCAGCGCAAAGTATTTCAACAAGTTTCCGTTTCTTTCTTCTTGGTCGGTCCTGGCGATAAATATTGAGGAATCGCCAGTTAGATGTTAGCACTTCAGTGAATGAACAACTGAATAATGTACATTCTTTTCGTTGTACATTGCCAGCAACCATATTGTCTCTTATTGAGTTTTCTGTAACTTTGACAACGAAAGGTTGTACACTTTTCAGAAACGCAGCAGAATAGGTTATGCGATTAATAAACATAATGATATATTAAAACAAACAATAATAGATAACTTGTTGAAATATCTAGATGGCAGGAACAGGTAGCCCAGATGCTCAAGCAGGCCTCGATAATTATCAGACGCCTAACTAAGACTCGTGAACTGCAAACACGAGAGACTCAAGCTGGCTTCAGACCTGGTCGTGGCTGCATCGACCACATATTCACCATTCGTCAGGTTCTAGAACACAGGCATACTTATCGACGTCCGACAATGACGATCTTTCTTGACTTAAAAGCAGCATTTGACTCCGCAGACCGCGAGATTCTGTGGCAGTGTCTGTCATTGAAAGGCGTACCTCAAAAGTACATAAACCTTGTGAAGGCTCTTTACTCGAACACTACTAGTCGAGTCAGAGCTTATGGCGAACTGTCATCTACTTTTGCAACCTCAAGTGGTGTCCGTAAAGGCTGTCTACTTTCTCCATTTCTGTTTAACTTCATCATAGACCTACTGATGGAAATAATATTCTCGTCGACTGAATTCTCGGGTATTGATCTCCTTCCAGGAGGTCCACTTATCGACTTAGAATACGCAGATGATATAGTCCTGTTTGGTGAAGACGCTGACAAAATGCAGAGTCTTTTGGTAGCACTAAGCAATAATGCCAGAATGTTTGGAATGCACTTGTCTCCCTCTAAATGCAAGTTGTTGCTTCAGGACTGGCCTGCGTCAAAACCTGAACTAAGGATAGGGAGTGAAGTAGTCGAACGCGTTGACAACTTCACTTATCTTGGAAGTCTGATCAGCCCTAATGGGTTGGTATCGGACGAAATCGCAGCACGGATTCGAAAAGCTCCTTTGGGTTTTGCCAACTTACGTCACCTTTGGCGAAGGCGAGATATCCGTCTATCAATTAAAGGACGAGTATACTGCGCGGCAGTCCGTTCTGTTTTACTTTACGGCAGCGAAGCATGGCCTTTAAGAGTAGAAGACACTCGTAAGCTACTAGTATTTGACCATAGATGCCTTAGAAATATTGCTGGCGTCTTTTGGGATCACCGGGTAAGTAATAGTGCGGTTAGACGTAGGGTATTAGGTAATGATGGTAAATCAGTTGATGAGGTTGTTAATCTTCATCGACTGAGATGGTTGGGTCACGTGTTGCGTATGCCTGAACACCGATTATCACGATGCGCAATGCTAACCGGTGTTAGAGATGGTTGGAAGAGAATTAGGGGCGGCCAAACCAAAACGTGGCATCAGTGCTTGAAGTCATTAACTTCTAGTCTGAGCCATGTCGGTAGATGCGAACTACTTGGTTGGGGTCCACGTGACTATCGTAACCATTGGTTGGAGACTCTTGGTGACATGGCTCAGAATCGGTCACAATGGCGTCGGTGTATACACTTTCTGTCTTCTCTTAAACTAAGAGATTAAAATCACTTCATATCTTTCTTTCTGCTAACTAATTCTTTCTTCCTGTGCTATATCCTTATACACAATCTTTCTTTTATATATTACCACCATTGACCTAACCACTACTTTGAATCCGGTGTTCATCTTGCTGTGCTAATGATGTATGGCAACGTGAACCGATGCATATATGTGCCTGGCCTTACGTTGTAGCTGACTGACTGTTTTAAAATGTGTACAAATACATATAACAACTTCAATAAGTCTGCTGATCATCACTGTACATGTTAAACTGATCAGCGCTGATATGTCTATGAACACTTATAATCTATTGCATACCTAATTTTTAATTTGTTTGTTACAGTTGGAATTGTCTGGTCTCATTGCAAAAATGCAGACATTCGAATATATCTATGTTTGGGAACGTAAATCATATTATATTTATTGTTAATTCGCCTACACGTTGGGTTTTATGTTGTTTGTATCATTGGTTGTTAAAACAAAAGTTACAAATATTATTCATGAGTTGGTATGCAAAAACTGCGAAGCAAAAACACAATTTTCAAAATGAGTGCTTTCTTTTTTTTATACATATTTTGAATCTTCTACACACTTTTAATTAAAATTTCTTACATAAACTTATTTTGATTGAAACATTGTTTTAACGATTGTACATCAGAATTTTCTAACATTGATTATACATAGCTTATATTTGTATATAAATCTACTTGTCAATTGATTTCTTGTCTTTTAACTACTTCTTTATTTGTGATTTACTGTCTACGTCGACTAGACTGCTTTCATTTTTTTGTTTCACCACTATGCGGCTTAGAGTAAAAATATTGGAGTATAAGTATTGTTTAAATAAGACTATGTCATTTCAATGCAATTGGTTAATTCGGTATTTTTCGACGACTGTAAAATCATCAACAATAGTGCATGGAGGTTACACATTAAAATTTTTCTATCTGTTCGCAATCTACTTATTTACTTAGATAGTTGACGACCCTTTTCATTGTAGAGCAAAAATAGCTCTATTTAACCTACCACAAAATTAATAAATACACTATTGTAAACTACTGTCGTAGAATATACATTTTTCTGCTTTTAAGTGCAATAATGACAAATTACTTACTTAAAAATTTAGTAGGATGTAATATTTGAAGCTGTAGCCTAATGAAAGGGCTGTAATCACTTTGTCAATAAATGTTCCATAGAAAGCTTAAATTATACAAAATTTAGATGGAAATAACCGGTAGGTGAAATTCTTGATAATATGATGAAAATACAAAGAAAATCGCTCGAACTCATTAAACTACGGTAAAATGAGTTAAGCTATGTCATCGAGCTATATAAATAATAATAATATGCTGTTGATAATTCTAGCTCAAAGTTTTTAAAACGAAAGAGATTTATTATAGGGCTTAAGGTGAAAAGTTTTATTGATATCTAAGGAAGGTTTCCAGTGAGTTGTTAATACAATTACTATATATATATATATGATTGGCGAAATTTTCGGACGTCAATAATCAGTGAAACAAAGTTAATTTAGCTTTGCTAAACAACACAATAATTGTTTTTTGAGAATACATGTAATAAAGAAGGCCGCGTATGACTTTAAACATTCTATACGACTCATGTTGTAAGCTCTTTAGAGATAAGTGTGAACTTGACTAAAAATTTGTCAATCATCTATAAAACAGACTAAATACAGGTGATGGTGGTCAATGTGGAGCGATTCATTATGGAATTACTCGATATCTGGTTTAAGATTCCTTTAGAAAATACAGAGGCTGAAGCTTCCGAAAATAATAAAATGTGAGTGTTACTAGTGTCGTTTTTCGTTGAACGACGAAACAGTCGACTTGTCTTGTTAAAGATGTGCAGCAGCTCGTATTTATGGTTCGTCAACTATCTGATAACTGTAAACAATCCCTCGACCAGACGAGCATGAATAAGTGACTTGCATCTACATCCACTAGCTTGCCTAATTTGTTAGTTACATGATATTTGGTGAAACATGTCTTCGTGTTGATGAGGATGTTGTCGGTCGCTGCAAATGTCTTTTAATTTCGCACTTGTATTGTAAAAATCATGATGGCTATCACCGATAATAAAATGACAGGAAGTTTCAGTTTGATATTTTGTCAGCTGTCTGACAAACTCTTCTTTATTTGAAAATCAAATATCTCTTTGAAAATGTTCTCAACTTTGCTGTTTAAAAATAAGGATCGTAATTTGGTACTGACAGTTTTATTCATCCAGAAATGTACTCCGATGGACGGTCGGAACTATTTTTCTGACTGGTCGATCTGTTAAGAGCAGAAGAGTATACAGAAACAATTTTACACTTAAGAACTTGGTTTTAGTCAACTAAATATCATTCGTAATTAACGTGCTAAGGCGGTTGCAACACTACTCACGTTTGTTAACGATGCCAAAATCTTACTAGAAATGATAAACGCAAGTCCCAACTAGCATTTTACCGATATCTTTTTTTGTGTCCTAAAAATCATTCGTCCAATGAAGTTTCTGATTACTGTTGTTTTAAGAGGGATATACAGTGAGAGGGTAATTAGTGGACTCAAGTTTTCTGGTAATTATTTGCAAGAATAATTTAGCCACTTTAAGCAGTGGTTTTGAAAGTGGTCACTGACACGGAATGTGTGTTCCAGGCAAATAATGTGTATATTGATATGAACGAGGTGCGGAGTATTACGCTATACTCCAATTTTACATAACGTCCTTGAATGGATTCTGTGAATGAAGATAATTTGTAATAGTTTTTCTTTGTCACTCTTGATCAAATTTATTTGCTTGTTGGTTTCCCGTATGTACCTGAAAGGCACAAAACCAACAATTAAAACTCGGTGTGATTTTTTCTCTAAGAGTACCAATATCTATTACATACATCTGTTGTGATACTTCTGCCCTATAATTCCGATTCCTACTATTCTTCAAGCAATAATGAATATCCGAACTCTCATCAACTTTCATGTTAAATATATCTAACTCTTAACCTCATTAAAAGGATGTAACCGTCCAAATTTAAATGAAATATTAGAGGGTGCGATTGGAGGTTATTCAATTGTTCTTAAGTGTGATGCCTACAAAAAATTTGGATAGTTGAGAAAAGTTTGTAATCTAAACCGATATGCATTAGTTCTTAAAATTGCTTTTCAATTATCGAAAAATCAGCTTCCTCATTTCATCTGTGTATGTAGGAGATTAACCATTATCAAAGCGGTATAACATGGAAAATAACCTGCCATTTTAATCATACGGTAATTTGAAGATGAAGGACAGGCCACTTAAGAATAATTTGAACTTTTAATGTTATTGCAACTTCTCTGTTGCTACAAACTGACGAAATTATGTACTTGTATTTTACATTGCATTTAAGGTCTTTCTGTATTTGTGAATCGAGTGCTGTTGGCACACAATTAGGATTATGTTATATCCCGATGAGAATAATGAATGGTACCTTTTGGGACCCATTTATGAACCAATACTATACGTATATTTTTATCGTATAATTATCCCAACAGCGTATCTGAAATTTCACATTTTCATTCATAAGTAATTAGCTAGCAGATTTTAATATTGCTACTTCTAATACTAGTGAATCTATGATGATCAGTTATTTAATAAATATCCATTACATAAGAGTGGTTTTCTGAACAGTACTTACACTTGACTTATTGTAATATGTGATGATGATAAACTGTGAATATGATACGTACAGGTATCCTACAGTACAAAAATAGAAGTTTTTATCCTCATAACTTATTTATAAGCACGTGAATATTCGCCATACTCTATCAGTGGTTTATCCATCATTTAATAATAAGAAACACGTAAATTATCATGCGCCTTTGCCTATATTCGTTTAGGTGTGTAATACAATACGCAGTAGAATGCACCATATCATAGCCCGTTTTAAACCTTCAAATGTCAGGATTCGACATAAGTCAAACAAAAAGAGAATACTTTGTGACTTTTGTCGCTAACCGGTATCATCATAGGGATTATTTAAATACCATGAAGTAATTGACAGCTGTTTCGTACTTTCTCGTGACCCCTCAGATATTTCCACTAACGTCACTCGGAACATTTATTATTTATGATGAACACGATGCATTCCGTTTAGGTTTCATAATAGTTGATTTTTGATAAAACTTGGTTTTTATTCAATATAATCCTTAAGTTAATGTTTCATTGGAGACTTTGCTGACTCTGTACGTCACACTTCCCATTAATGATAATAATAATCTTACTTTTCGACTACAATTCATATTAGTTTAAACAATTGATCGCACAAAGCTGATGATTATTTTTCATAACTTTAATGAATAGTTGGCAGTACATCTAAACACCAGTTATGTTGTGTATGTATGGTAGAATACTGTTTTCGAAGTCGTTTACTAAAATCACATAAATTCGAAACATTGTTAACTGATGATATGATGGGAGAGAAATAAGAAAAGACTACTGATTACCTACTGGGACCCATAGTAAGAAAAATAGAGTATTTTGAATAAAGTTGAAATTGTATCCGATGTCTAGTATTTATCTACACGAGACAATTCAGTCATAATCATTGATCTTGAGAATGACTAAACATAAGGAAATATGGTTTTAAAGAAAGTTCTTTTGAAGGACAAAAACTACGAAACAATATTAAAGCTCAATATTTCGAAACGAGATGGAATGTAAATGAATCACTTAAACCGATTCTGAGACACACCAACTATCTCCAACGACTGATCACGACGATCCCAAACAGTCAACGACTTTGTGGATTGATACGTCATTTTTAGGAAAAGTAAAGAGCCGCTTTAAAATGAAGACAGTAAAGAAGAGATATGAAACAAACAAATGATAAAAATACTAAGCAGTATCGTACCCTAGATTTTCCGAGGGTTGTCAGCTTGAATCCCTACAGTGTTCGCTTTCGTTATGAGGTGAGGACGAACCCCATCCCGGAAATTTGATGACTGACTTACTACGTGATCATTATCGACTAGTTGTGACAGTATTAAGTCACGCATTGACTCTGATAGACCCTGTACAAATCAAGAAGTTAGGTGCTCACTAGTTGTGTGGTCCTACTCTAGATATAGCTCTTTTCACAGAGCAACTGAGTTGGTAACTACACATAAAAGAAGCGAAACCAGGTAACTTGTAGTATCGGTTGCTATGTTAAGCCCATATAGCTTATTCTAGCTTCCGGACAAGCCAATTTACTCATTTTCTCTGACTCACATTTTGACATTTTCGCTTATTAACCTTGACTGTTTTTATATGAGCGTATGTGTGCACTTCTTACCCTATTCATCGCGTATCTGTAGCTTGCTTTTGTTCGGCTACAAATATCGATTAACTCTTGATTAAATATAGTTGAGTCACACGCCTTCTACACCGTGCATCATTTCACTCCGTTACTTCGATCGTTTGTATCGATTAACAATTGTACGAAATACACGTATTCAAAATTCACTCTTGTATTTGACTTATTTAATTCCGTTATGCACTAACGCGAGTTAAGTCGATGATTATATACGAGAATAGTCAGGATGTATATTTCGACAGCAATTATTTGATAA